TGCCCCCCATCTCCCCGCCCGGCGCCCCCCAGCCGCAACCCCCGCTCCAGGCTAAAAGCAGCCTGGCCCTGCCCCGGTCCTGCCAGGCAGAGGCACCTTCCCCTAAGCGGCCACCGCCCACCCTCCCTCCCAGTGACTCAAGCTGGGGCAAGGGGGGCACCTGGGCCTTTGGGTGCTCAGGGCCGCGTCCTGGAGGAGCCGGCCGTGGGGCCCAGCTGTGCCCCGGGCCTCGAGGAGAAGGCACCCTGCCAGCGGCCCCAGATCCCGGCTGCCTTCCTGGCTTGTGCTGCCCCGGCCGCGAGGCCAGGGCCAGGGCCAGGGCCAGGGCCGGTGGGGCAGGAGCTTCCATCCCCGGGGCTGGCACCAGGCCCAGCGCCCGGGAGCCCTGGTACGTCCGCCCCTCGCCGGGCCCGGGGGGCCCGATGCGGCCCACGCCCACGGCGGGATCCAGAGGCCGAGAGGAAAGGAAACATCCTGCCGGAGCCGCCCGCGGGGAGCAGGCTGCTTCCCATCCCCGCGGCCGAGGGCAGCCGAGGGCTCGGCGTGGGCGGACCTGCTTTACCTCACACAGACAGAATGTGCTGCCCGGTGATGTGGGCTCCCCTGGCCGCCCCCTCCAGCCATCCATCCATCCACCCCACGACGGCCCGTGCCCGCCCGCCGGGGTGACACTGCCCCCCTCGCTGCTGCTACTGGCCTGGGGGCAGCGAGCTATGGCCTGGCATCCAGCCCCCGACCGGGCAGTGCTTGGCCCCTGGGCGCAGACAGGCAGGGAAGGACCTGATCCTGGCTCTGCCCATCCCAGCTCTGTCCCCGTTTCAGGGCACAAGGGAGCCCCTGCTCCGGGCTCCCCCCAGGGCACCTGGCCCTGCTCCCGCATCCTTCCCCGGGCAGCCTTGCCGGAGCCCCCGGTCTGTGCACATGGGCCGGCTGCAGCCCCCGCCCCAGCCCACCCGGCCTCTGCTCGGACAGCCCTGCCTGCTGGCTGGGAGAGAACCAGCCTAGGAGCTGGGGCGCGGGAGGAGGCCGGCGGCCGGCCAGCCCACCCACCACGAGCGGGGAGGAGGGAGGGAGCGGGGCTGGGGCTCATGGGAGACATCGGGCTGCCCTGCCTTCAGGGGTGGGGGGCCGACGTGGCCAGGCCGGGGAAGCACTGGGCTCTCCCGGAGCCTCTCGGGACCTGGCCCTGCAGGGAACCTGCCTGCCTGGGCGGGAAGAGCTCCTGGCCGAGCCCTGGGTGGGAGCAGAGCTGGGGCAGGTGGACATGGCTCCCCTTCCAGCGTTCGTGCCCCCAGCTGCACCCGGAGAAGGGCCAGAGCCACCCCGAGAGCAGCCTCCTGCAGGGCCGCGCTCCAGAAAGGGTTAAAAGGCTGTGGGTAGGGGGCAGCTGCAGCCAGCCCGGCCCTGCTTCCCCCACACCTGGCCCGCGGGCAGGTGCTTAGCATTGAGGAGGGGGGCAGCCCCTGCCCGCTGGAGAGAGGGGCCAGGGGGCGTGCGGGCCTTGGCAGAGGTAAAGGGCATTTGCCCCATGGCCCCTGGGCATTTGGGGTTGTCTCTAGGGCTGAGAGCCTGGTGCCTCGTGGTGAGAGCTGGCGGCTTTGCCCTGCCTCTGCTCCCACAGCCCCGACGTTCAGCGCCGGCGGGGCCCGTGCCAGTGCCCTGCCCTTGGCGCTGTCTGCTCCTGCCTCCGCCTTATCTGGGGCTCTCCAGGAGGGAGGCAGTTGCGCCTGGGCCAACACATTCCCAGCCGGGCTGCGAGCCCCGTGGCGCGGGGGAAAGCCCTGGCCGGGGTCTGTGGGAACCAGACGGCCCCTGGGCACAGCTCGGCAGGGCTTGCTTCCTCCCGTGCCCCCAGGGACTGTGAGAAGGCGGGAGCCGAGGTCAGCCGCTCCGGGCAGGCCGGCGGCGTGGCCAGCGCCAGCGCGACTGCATTCCCAACCCGTGTTTTTTCACTGGGGAAATAAAAATGCAAGGAAGGGGAGACGATCCAGCCCGGGCCCTGCTCCCGCAGCCTTGCGCAGCGCAGAGCGGGGCTCCGGGGGCGGCGGGAGCCGATAACGGGTGACGTGGCTCTGGACGCTGTCTGGTCTCCAAGTGACGCCAGCGCCTTCCCTCCCCGTGGGCTCCCTCCGGCTCCGAGACAAGTGAGCAGCTGGCGGGCCCCGTGACCCTCGGCGCCTTCCCACGCCGTGCCCCTCGCCACCCTGCTTCGTGGCAGCCGGGGGGCTGCGTTCCCCTGCTTCTGGTTCCCTTCCAGGAGGGGAAGGAGCTGGAGAGGAGGGGAAAGCCCCTCTGTCCTGCCACCCCTCACCGTGACCCAGCGTGCAGGGCCCGGGATGGGGCTGGCCGAGGGGGAGCAGCGTGTCTGCTTGCGGGGCAGGACTCATCCCCGGCATGTGGCTGATGCTAGGCTGCCCCAATGCAGCCAGCTGTCTGGGCACGGACCACCTGGGCACGGTCAGGGGTGCCCGTTGGCCACACAGCAGGCTTCGGTCCACGTGCCAGACCTCCATGCTGCCTCCCTGTCGGGACCAGTGTTTGCGGTGGCGCCCTTGGCACCACGCAGGCTGCCCTGGCCCCGCGGGCGGGTGGAGAAGGGCTCTGGGTGTGTCCCAGACTCTCCTGTCCTTGGCTGCACTCTGCGCGGGTCTGGCAAGATCCCACGGGAAGGCTAAGCCCCAGCCGGGCACCCTGCTCTTGGACCCAGCCTCGTGGGGTGCTGTGCTTGCCCGGAGCCATACAGAGGAATAGAAGCAAATGCCCAGCTGGGCGGGGGCACTCGCGGGTGCCTGCGGGCAGGGAAACCTGCTGGTTTTTTTGTCCTTCGAGGCCCCTCCAGATTTGGCCAGGCCTAGGAGCAGGAGCCGGTGGCACGGGATGTGGGCAGGCTGTCCTGGCTCCCCATCCTGTTGCTAATGGCTGTGACCGATGCGCCTTCCTCTCCCGGCACTGCCCCGTTTGGGAGGGAGAGGAGGGCCTGGGGGCCATGTTACCTCGCGCGGCGTATGCCGAGCTCGTGCCCTACTTTGTCCCTGCTTCCCCCACCCCGGTGCCCGGCAGCAGTTCCCAGTGGCTTCTGGTGAAGGGGCTTCAGCCCCCGCCTTGGCTCTTCCTGACGCCGGCCCGGCTGCCTGCACGAGGCCGTCGTGGGTTGTCCCTGCAGCTCTGGGGAGCACAGGCGTCCCGCCCCGGCTGGGCAGGGCGTGTGGGGGAATGAGGAGGGATGAGGGGCAGCTGGGTCATTCGAGACCAGCCCCTCGTGGGCATCCTGGCGTGGGTCCTGGGGGGCGAGGGCACGGCTGCAGCCCAGCCCTGCCCCACGCCCCGCACATTTCCTAGGGAGTCACCGGGGAGCTGTGATTCAGGCCCACGTGGCCCCCTCCCTTCCTGGCCGCGGCCCGCCAGCCCCGGGTGATTAAGGCCAGAAGAATTCTGCAGACTGCGCTCACTTTCCCTTGCTCGGCTGCGGTCTGCCCGCGGCTCCGGGCCCTGCCGACGGGCTCCGTCCCGGCTGGTTGCAGGACAAGCGGCTCCCTGGGCAGCGCTGCGCTGGACTGGGCTGTTCTCAGGCTCCAGGCACTGGAGCAGCTGGAAAACCCCGGCAGGTCCCGTTCCCTCCCTGGAGGGCAGCCCCACCACCCCGTTCCCAGGCCTCCCGGTCCTCTGACCCCGGTGACGGGAGGTTTGCAATCGTCCTGGCCACGGCTCTGGGAACTGCCACCTTCCCAGCTCACAGCCCTGCCCAGGCGAGACGGGGATCCCAGCTGGGACCTGGCGTGAAATCCTGGCCTGAGCCAGGGACGCGGTTGTATCAGGGGGATGAGGCTGCCCCGATACTTGCACTGCGCTAGCCCCATGGCACTGTGGCTAGTTACCACGGATGCTGCATACATCTGGCCCTGGCCCCGTAGGCTCCCCGGGGAGGGCATTTCCCTGGGGCTGCTCCATGGATGGGAGCCCGGGGTCCGTGGTGAAGCTTGGTTGCCAGTGCAGAGCAGGTGGGACGTGCCCTCGCTGTGCCCAGGGACAAGTGACCTGTGAGGGGCAGGGAATGGGGCGCCCCTCCCATCCGTGGGGTGCCAGGGCAGCAATGTCCCCCCACCCCAGCACGGGCCCAGGCAGACACTAAAGCAGGCAGCAATGGGGGAATGTGCTTTATTCCGCAGGCTGGCACCGAGTCTGTCCCCGGTCCCGTAGGATACAAGCTGGGGCAAAGGGGTTGGTGGCAGTGTCGGACCCCCAGGGATCCCCCCGGCAGCCGGGTGCGTGCGGGCTGTGCCGGGCAGTCCCCAGCGGGAGGCAATAACTTACACGGAGCGTCTCTCTCTCCCTCAGCCTGCTCCCGTCACTCGAAGAAGAACATGCCCGGTGTCCGGTAGATGCATTTGGGCAGCCCCAGGTGGTAGCTGTTGCCCCCTTGCAGGGGGAAGGCGCCCCCGGGCCAGGACTCCTTCTGGTCCCCGGGCAGCTGGAGGGCTGGGTGGAAGGGGGGCGGCTGCACGGGCGCCCCGGGGCCAGCAGGCTGGGCCGAGCTGAGGATGTGCTCCAGGGCCGAGCTGCACGGGCGCTCGTTCATGCAGAAGCTCAGCGCCTGCACACGGCACTGGTAATTCCCGCTCAGGGCGTCGGTGCCCGCGCAGCCGAAGGAGCCGAACACGGGCAGCGCCGGCTTGACGTAGGCCTCGCCGGACCCAGCAGCGGGGCGGCGAACCCCGGGGCCACCTGGCTGAAGGGCTGAGCCAGCCCCAGGGCGGGGGCTGCCGGCTCCTTGGTCTCCAGCACGCTCTCAGTGAGCAGTGCATCCGGCAGCGAGTCCTTGATCTCAGGGGCCGCCTGGCTCAAGCGCTCCCCAGGGCTGGTGTAGGGGCTCAGTCGAGGCATCGGGATGTGTGGCTGGAGCCCCCCAAAGATGGGCTCCTTCAGCAGGGGCGGCTCCTGCCCCCGGCTCTCTGGCAGCGGGTAGCACGGCTCCTTAAAGAGCTGGGGCTTGGGCTCCGGCCCCTCCGGCAGGTACAAGCACGCCTGCCGGGGCTTCTGCAGGTACTTCCTGGGCTGCTCCGGGCACCGGGCACCGGGATCCACGCTGCTCTGGGCACGCTCCTTGGCATCGCCCTGTGCCTCCCCGGAGAGCGTCTGGCTGGCACCGCTTGGCTCTAGCGGGGAATAGCCACCCTCGGTCTTGATCTCCGGGGCTGGGGCTCGGGCTGGGGGGACCTGCCGCGCGCGGGGCTTGGACGGCTTCTTGCGCGTCTCCTCGGCCTCGGCGCCCGGCGCGTCTCCTCGGCCTCGCTTGCGGGTGAAGCGGCGGTTGTAGCAGTCGGGGTCCAGCGTCCAGTAGTTGCCCTTGCCCGGCTTCTTGTCGTCGCGGGGCACCTTGACGAAGCACTCGTTGAGCGAGAGGTTGTGGCGGATGGAGTTCTGCCAGCCCTGCTTGTTGTCCCGGTAGAAGGTGAAGTGGCCCATGATGTAGCGGTAGATGCCGTTCAGCGTGATCCGCTTCTCCGGCGTGCTCTGGATGGCCATGGTGATCAGCGCGATGTAGCTGTAGGGCGGCTTGGCGGGCTCGCCGGCCGGGGGCTGGCCCCTGCCTGCCGTGCTGCCCGCGTATGGCGCCAGCACCATGCCCAGGTTGCTGCAGGCACCTGGCTCGGGTGGGACGCGCAGAGAGGAGGCCGGAGCGGGATACTCCAGTTGCATCCTTCCCCTTGTCCCCTGCGCGGCCGCACGCTGCAGCCTCCTGGCCCCGAATGCGGGAAGCCCTGTCCCGGCTCCGTTAAAACTCTGCCGCAGCCCAGCCCCCCGACAAAGTCCCTCCTCTGGCCCGGAGCAGCGCGGGGGCCGCCCAAGGCGGAGCGAGGGGGGAGCAGGGGCCGGTTGTCTGTCTCTTGCTGGATCTCAGCGGTGCCTGAGCCGACAGGGCAGGACCGAGGCGTCTGGGGAGGAAACGCAACCTCGGGCTGGCAGATCCAGCCCAGCCAGCGCAGCAGTTCCCAGACAGAGTGGGTGGGACGGGGAGAGGGAATGGATGGCGGGGCGGCATGGAGAAGTGGGGAGGGCTACTGCCAGGCTCGTGAGCCTGTAGGCTTGCTCCCCCACTGGGACCCCCCAGCTTCCTCTCTCTCTGGGCATGGGAGGTTTCTCGCCAAGGGTGCTGGCGCTGGTGGGGGGCTGGCCGTGTGCCCAGATAGGGATGCACCTTGCGGCGGCCTGGGACAGTGGAGCCCGAGCTCCCAGCCAGCGCTGTGTTTCCAGGGAGGAGAGGAGAGGCCAGGCTGGGGCTGGGGGCTGCAGGTGGGGGCATGGTCGTGCAAGAGGCTGCCGGGAGCTTGGCTTCCCTGGGCAGAAGATGCTGGTTTGTCCTGGTAGCAGGGACTCCTCCAGGCTCCCACTCCCTCTGGCCGAGGCTCAGGAAAGTCCCAGGTCCCTGAGCGGCGCTGTCGCTCCCCTGGACTCCTGCACCCCCTCTTCCACCGCTCGGGCGCTGAGACGACCCCTCCACCCTGCAGCCACCTGCCAGCCAGGAGCGCTGGGCGTGCGATGCACGAGTGCTCCACGGCGCTCAGCCCTGCCCACGCGGATGTGCCCACCTCGGGGCACTTCAGCAGCAGCCTGCCCCCCACGCCTCCCCGGGGCCGTGTCCCAGGCCGGGCTCTCATGGCCACGTGCTCCCAAGGGTCAGCGTTTCCTGGCAGCCAGCCCTTTCTTCCCAGCTCACATCCTGTCCCCTGCTCAGCGCACAGCTGCGGAGCCGGAGCCCCAGGGGCTGGGAAGCCGGGGAGCAGGGGACAGGCAGTGCCTTGGAGGGGATCCACGAGGTCCCAAGAATGTCCCTGCCCCGAATCGGGGCCGGAAACTCTCAGAGCATGAGCGCCTGCTTGCTCCCTGGGCTTCCCGCCGGGTGACTGGGGACGTGCTATTGGATTCCCGCCGTGCTCGCTGGCTCTTTGCTTTTTTTAAACTTCCCTTAGCAATTTGCTCAAAGCTTGAAACAGAAAACTCTGCCCCCCCAACCTGGGAAGAAGAAACTTTCTGGCTGGGAAGTGTCCAGCTGGGCTGTGGCGAAGCCTGCCAGACTGCTTTCCAGGGGCTGCGCAGCTGTTCACGCAGGGACGGCGACCAGGCATGTTTTATTTAAGTATTCATCTAAAAAAGCAGGGTCCCTGGGTGACGTGTGGCTCCCCGCTACAGCAGCCGGAGCAGGGGCATCACAGCTGTCCTGATCCAAACCAGACCAAACGTTTCTTCTGAATAAATACAGCGAGTCCCATCCCGACCCCTTGTCCCCAGTCTGGGCTCGGCTCCCGGCACACCAATCCTTGCGTGCAGAGCTTGCGTCTGCACGGCGTGGCTGATTGAAACGCTGCCAGTCCTACTGGTGCTGGACCTGTCTCAAGCCCCCCGGCCTGCAGGTCGGAGCACGCGGGGGCAAGTGGCCGCCCAGGGCTGTGCTGAACGTGGGGCTCCATGACGAGGGCTGCGACTGACGTGGGGTGGGGGATGCAAGCTGCTGGGAATCGCCTCTCCCACGCTACCTGCGGGAGCTCCTGGGCGGGTTGAGGCCCCGTCCTGATCCCAGCTCGTGCTCTCTCGCTCTCTCTCCCTCTCAGCAGCTCAGGGCTGGCACAACTGCTTCAGGATATGGATGATGTGGCTGGACCCATCGCTGGCACTCGGTGGCACAGAGTCCTGGAGCAACTGCGGCCCCATCCGTTGGGCGCAGTGGAAGAGCTCGCGAGCGAACACCGGCTCGATCTGCAAAGCCAGAGCGGGCAGGTCACCCCGGGCAGGAGGCGGGGAGGCTTGCCTGTTCCTGGGCATACGAACACCCCCGGGGTCACCTCCCCGGCACCATGGCAGCTTGCTCCTTGCTGCTCTGACGTCCCAGCAGGTGAGTCGGGATGGAGGGAGCGCGGGCACCTTGCGGCAACAGGAGCTCAGCCCTGCTCTGCCCCTCAGTGCGCCAGGTTGGCCTCGGCGCCTGCAGGCCCAGAGCCCCCTGCCTGGCTCTTGGGCTCAGGAGTGCAGGAGACAATGTGGGGCCAGAGCCTGGGGGCAAGGAGTGTGGAAGGGGGCAAGAGACCGGGCAGCCTGTGCCCCCCTCTGAATGCACGCAGCGGCGTGCCACCCCGGGTACTCACGTGGGCCATGATGAGCTTCTGGAAGTTCTGCCCGGGGCTGGCGGGGAACTCCTCCCCAAAGCAGAGGTGGATCTGGTACTGGGGCACGGGCTCCCCGCGGCTCAAGTACCCGCGCAGCTCTGCAACCACAAGCATTTGCAGCGGTGACTCGGGGCTCTCCCAGCGGAGCGGGGCAGCGCTGGGCAGGAGCTCAGGTCCCAGCTGGAATATGCCAGTGTGCCCGCCTGGTCCACAGAGCAACAATGCTGCAGCCCCCAGCATGACATGGCTGTTGTGGGGCCTCCTGGCTAGGGAGCAGGGGCAGCAGCGGTACAAGGCAGGCAGCACGGCCGAGAGGGTTGGATTCAGCCCAGGTGTGGGGAACCCCCATGTACCCCAACAGGGCACAGCACCCTCCTGACCCCATCCTGGGAGCCCAGGAGAGCAGGGAGCTGCAGGCCCTTGCCTGGGACGATACGGTGCCGCTGGGCTGGGCTGGGCTGGGCTGGGCACTTACGCTGCAGGAACTGCTGGGTGTCCAGGAGTTTGTAGGTCTTCTCTCTCTCCAGCTTGTTGGGCCGGTCGTGGTGCGGCGCCAGGGGCCCGTTCCAGTACACCCGGCCCTGGCACTGGCGCTTCATGAAGACACCTTCGGGGGCCACCCACAGGAGGACGCCGCGGTCCAGGTGAGGCAGGAGTCGCTCCAGGACGTCCAGGACGCTGGCCACCCCGCTGTGGGTGCTGAGCAGGCGCGGGGGCGGGAAAGGGATCTGCTCCATGCAGGACGGGCCGTAGAGGCGCTCGTTGTCGGCGGGCACAGGGCGGTAGGTGATGACGCAGCCCTCGGCCGTGTGCGTGGTGAACTCGGTCACCAGCACATCGCAGTAGTACAGCCGGATGTGCAGCCAGCAGTCTGCGGGGCACAGCAGGGTCGGGGAAGGACGCCGGGGTGGGGGCCATCCCGTGCACGGGGCTCTGACTCCCAGCTTCACCCCGGCAAGGCAGGCCCCAGAGCAGCTGCTGCCCTGTCCCGGCAGGGATGGAAGGAGGTGGGCACTTTTCTGGGGGACGCACTCGATAGGAAGTGTGCGTTTAGCTCCCTTCACCCCCTTCCCAGGGGAAGTCAGAGGGAAAGCTGGTCCGTAGGCCTGCAACCTCCGACCGGCTCTGTCTGCCGTGTGGTAAGAGGACGCCAGGTGGCTCCACGGAGCAGCCTGTGTCTGCGCAGCCCTGCCCGGGCTCCCTGCCCGCCACGCTCCTCCTCACCCAGCACGGCTGCGGGGAGAGGGGCCCCTCCGAGCTCCTAAACCCCCACGGCTTCGCTGTCCCAAGAGTGAGGTGTACCTGAACCCCGTGGGGCAGAGGATGCTGCCGGCGCCTTCCACTCCCTACCTGAGTTGTTGATGTTGTCGACGGGCACGTAGCTGGGGCAGGACGGTGGGCTCTGCAGCAGGTGGCCGTGGGCTGGGTTCCAGCCGTAGAAAACCCCCTTCACTCGGTATCCTAGGAAGGAAGCCGGCAGGGAGATGGTGGAGGGGGCGGCTGCCTGGAGCTTTCCCAAGTCACGCACTTTCTGTCCTTGCAGACACGGGATCATGCTCGTGCCCACAGCCCCTGCCCCTGGGAGTCCTGACACCGCTGCAGGGGCGTCCCCGGCTGTTCCCGGAGACATGCTGCGTTGGGCATGGTAGTCAGGTGCCAGGGTGTGCCGTGATGATTCAGGGTGTTACAAGGGGTCAGAGGGGCATGTCCCTGCTGCCGCCTCCCCCTCCTGCCTGCTCTGCCCCACGGGAGCTGGCCCAGGCAGAAGGAGGACAAGGTTTGCCTCCCGCAGCGGGGGCAGAGCCTGCTGCTCTGCAGGCCTCTCCCTGCCTGGCCTTTGTCTCTCTGCACATTCTTGTTCCCCTGCCCCGTTAATCCAGCTGCTCCATCCAGACACACTGGAAATTCCTGATGGCAGCGCGGGGAACAGGACTACGAGGAAACATGGATGTCCTCCCCCACGGAGATCGTGGCATGAAGCAAGAGCACCCTGCCTGCAGCTCCCTGCTGCAGTCATCGAACGGGGAGTTAGTGGGGGTGAGGGCACAACAGAGCCAAAGGCACAGTGGGTGTGGGGAAAAGAACCAGGAGCCCTGCTCCCCTCGCTGGGTTTTAATCACGTGCCACACTTCAGCAGCCGCTCTGGGACCAGGGCCGCAGCATACGGCCTCGGCACCAAGCAGGCTGGCAGCCCCGCAAAACTCCTCGCTGTAGGTAGCAGGGACATACTGACCAGCGAGGGGCTGAGCAGAAATGCTTCCTGATCTGGGGCCCGGCGTCAAGGGGACTGGACCTCAAAGTCTGCTCTGGGGCTGCTTCCACGAATGCCAGAGCTCGTGCGGTGAAGGAAGGCCCCCCCCAAAAACCAGGGAAGCCTCAGTCAGTGTCCTGAACAAACCTGCTTCCCCATCTCAGGGGGGGTTTGGGTCCAGACCTGATCAGAAGCAACGGGGCAGGCGGGAAGGAGCTGGGTAGAAAACAACGTGGTTAGAAAGGGTGCTGGTGCTGGCGCGGGGCCAAGGGCCGGGCGTCCTCCTTACCCTGCTCTGCAGGATGGCTTGGCAAGAGAGAGACAGGCGGCACTGGAGAGCCCTGGTCCGTCTCCGTCCCATCCTTCTTGCTCTCCTCCTCTGTGTCTGAGGACGCGCTGGCCTGCAGAGGGGGGAACCAGGCCCCGTGAGCGCAAGCAGACGGAAGGAGCTGGCAGGTCGTGCCTGGACCTGCTTGCCAGGAGACCCGTGTTCATCTCTGCTCAGACTCTGGCTGCCTCGCTGGGCATTGCCGGGCAAGTTGGTCCCTTCTCTAGACCCCGGCCCTCGTGTGTAGGATGGGGACAAGCCTTGCGTGTAGGATGGGGAGTGACAGGAGCAGGCAGCGTGGGGCAAGGATGGGACGCGGGGCGGATGAGATGCACCAGCTGCCGTCTGGATGGAGGAGAGGGAATGGGTAGGGGGATTGACCATGGCAGCATGGGACGGCCTGGGAGGGATGTGCGAGGGGTGGGAAGGGACAGCTCGGGGGCGAGAGGAACTAGAGAAGAGTCGCGTCGGTGCAAAGTCCCCCCACTTGGCTCCCACCTTGTCCAGCCCGTGGTTAGCTACCGTCAGAGGGTGCCTGGCAGTGCCGGGCTGGCTCAGCCGCTGCTTTTCCAGGGCAGGGGACTCCAGGCGGCCAGCCTTCTCTGCAGGGAGACGAGGAAGACCTGTGACACCGCGGCACAGCGTCCTGCCCCGAGCAGCTGCTGGACGGCGGCGGGGCAGCCGCGGAGAGCGGGAGGGCACCTACCCGGCTCCCTGGCGCCCTCGGACACGATCTGGTAGACCTTGTAGGGCTCGGAGATGTCCAGCTGGCTGCGCTCCGGCACCTCCTGGAAGTCCGTGCTCTTGTTGAGCGCGCAGCGCAGCCGCGTCTTCCAGGTGGACGGGTCCGCCTTGTCCGTGCCCTCCTGGTACTTGCCCTTGTAGACGGCCCAGGCCTGC